ATATGCCTAACAAGAAATGTGGCATTTGGCATTTTGTGAATTTTACATTATCTATCAAAACATCATTTGGCAAGTAGCACTATTTAGCATTACAAAAAGCAAAAACTACATGTAATATCAAGACTGATATTGGTAATAAAACATTTAACATATGCCTGTATAATATGTGAAAAATTTCCAGTGGTTCGGTGATAGTGTCCAGTTATCAACATCAGTGCGAAAATGAAGTTAATTTGATATGGTGTGACTCCCTACCACTTCAGGTTGTGACATAAAAAATCATGACTATTCGTTAATGAAACCATCATTTACCCCCTCCCCCATCCTCCGATCACAGGGCTTCGAAATCAAGAATATATTCTTTCTTTTTACCCCCTGCGATAAGCAGTTAGCATTTCCCCGATTAAGAACTCGCAATCTGATTGGCTGACGCAACACTGCGACAGAAATCATGTATAAGTCATTGCACATAATTAGATCACATGATTCAGTTTAATCGGGCGCTTCCAAATTGGTTATAGCAGGGGAAAGAATGAGGTACAGATTCTAGATACCTGCTAAGGAGGATGCCCCTCCCCTAATGAAACTAACGTTGCCATTCCACAACTGGTGATACTTGGACACCACCCCTTACTGTATAAATTAATAGGGAACAAGATGTGTTCATTTCCACATGCAAAGCATCACAAAGTTTTTTACCCATTTTTTACTGCAGATGACAACAATGCAGAAGTCTCAAACTGGCTGAATGGAAACGTAAATCAACATTTCAATGCAACAGTTTACAGACATCGTACCATATAACTCACACTGCATTTTACTGTCATTTTGTCATATTATATACATACTCATATTGTACTAAACTGTCTTTTGTCAATTATGGCTGAGGCGATGGCAAGATTAATGAAAAATTTAATTTGGGCTAATTACGGACAGTAAAACATGTATATCTGAACATCTCTCTGATCCGAACATTTCTCGATGTCAACATTTTTTTCAGTCCAATTTTTTGATCTGCCATAGACTTTATAATTATTTCGTCGGTCTCCGTGACATTCATATTTAACTGGTTTTACTGTGCATGTATTTGGTATTTAACTTCTATTGCTCTACTAAAAACATAGAAACGTGAACTTTACACTTGAGGATGGGGAGGCGATGTCGTCCATGTAGGTAATTGATGGACACTCACTGCAGCCATTTGTCTTAGGAGTTTACCTACATGAAAGACATTGCCCTCATCCTCTAGCAATGGACTACGATACAAATAAGGAAACCTGAATTTTACACTAGAGGATGGGGAGGCGATGTCGTCCATGATGGTAACTGAAGATTACCTACATGAACGACAATGGCTCCGTCCTCTATCAATAGACTACAATACAAACATTAATTGAAAAATTACTATACTAGCGACGTAGCGAGCCAATTCATGAGGTACATCAACCTCTTACAAGGGGCATACCAAAAGTAAGAGGACATGTGTATGGTTGCTATAGTAACCAGAAAACACTCACTTTAGAGTTTCCAAAAATAAAATTCCAGGCTCTTATTACAAACTAATGAAGATTTTGTGGAAAAATTAGGAAATTTCAACAAATAACAAAGTTAGAACATGCGTCACTTAGCTTTTGGTACGCCTCTTGTATATCATTTACATCTCTTAATGCTGTGCAGACTCCAGTAAATGGTGAGCAATTTGATTTTCAAGATATCAAGATAATCACTGAAAGCTGTGGTGTAATACAGTTACATATCTACTCTAATGACTTGAGTACATGTTCCAAATAAATATATATGTGTATACTGCCATGGCAACAGGTATATGTTTGAAATAAAGGTTACATAGTTTAACATAATTTTTTCTTGTTATTTACAATTATTTACAAAGATGCTGTATTTAGCCCGACTAGGAAAACATTGACTCCCAAGAGAGGTGAATTCCAACGAACAAAACATATTTTATCGAAACATTTTGAATATTTGATAGAAATAACCAGGCAGTTATATTGACTTCTTTTGAGTAAAATCTAAACCAATGAGATCATCTTATAAAATTTGAATTAAATCCATTGACCAGTATTTCAGTTATCTACCTATTTCAATTGTATGAGTAAGAGCTGGGCCTTTCCCTTCAAATACCCCAGATTTAACAGATGAACAGATTTAGGGACATACAGATGGACAGATTGAGGGACATACAGATGGACAGATGGCTTCTCTATATTCCTACTTAAACTCTTTCATTGAAATAACAAATGCCAATGACAAACAGTTAAACCTTATATAGTGAACACCTATGGAGCTACAAAAACTGTTCACTATAATATGTAGTTGTTTACTACAGAGAGGAGATTTTATGCAGGAGTCGATGTAAAATGTGTCTGGAAGTGGTGTTCACTAAACACAGGTGTTCACTAGAGAGGTATTCACTAAACCTGGTTTTACTGTATCATTTTAGTGTCTGAGATGTGACTTCATCCAGACATTTGGAACACTAAAGATTGATCCTGTTCATATATAAGCTTATTAACCTGTGCTGGGAACCCCAGTCACTTTATGTACACACCCACAAACATCTAAGATTTGATTGGTCGAAAGGAGCGAATAAAAACAGGAATAAATCAAAACAATTTTGGCATACCTACCAAGCCAGGTTATAGACTCTTTCAAAGAAAAAATATATATAAATACTTCAAGCATTCAAATATAACCTTTTTTTTCCTTTGACTTACTTCTTTACAAAAAGTAAATATAACCTTACACCTTGGATAGGATAGATACGCACTCAAAAACTTCAAAAACTCAAAAATTGTTTTTCTCTTGACAAATGGATATCTTTTTTTATTTGTCACGTAGTCAGATTAACCGCTTGAATACCAGAGCATTTTACATTTCTTAATTTACAATCTTGCTAATGAACACCAAATGCAAGGTATATTAGAGTGGATATGTTATTGTGACTTTGTTTTCAATTTTGGTGGCTTTAAATTGAGCCTGTATAAATATGATATATTTAATTAAAATGAATGAAAATATCCAGGCATTCTCACTTTCAAAGTGCACATAATAGGAGACCTAGACACTACAAAGACACTATTGTATGTTCCAAAGACACATGAATAAAAACAAATTTATTTAAAGGAAACCAGGTCATTAAACTTTCACTTATCTCCGTATATTCACCTTAAAACATATCTCCGTATATTCACCTTTAAACGTTCAATGAATATAAAATTGTTAGTTTCTACTGCACTGATTGGTTGTATACAAATAAGTACAATTGGTGGAAAGTTTTAATGAAGTGAACCCCTGCATTTAGAGGATGTATTTTCCCCTAGACTGAGGGTATCTTCCCCTAGTCTGAGGGTATTTTTCTCCTAGTCTGATGGTATTTCCCCCAGTCTGAGGGTATCTTCCCCTAGTCTCAGTGTATTTTCTCCAAGTCTGACGGTATTTCCCCTTAGTTTGAGGGTATTTCCCCTAGCCTGAGGTTGAAAAGCTTTTAGCCACAGAAATTTACTGCAATAAAATTTTATCACTGCTATACTCAACGCAATGCAGACCATTAGGAGAAATAGCACATAGAATAGACAAATCGAGGACACAAACTTATACAACATGTCCCCAGCATTATGTAATATAGATTTTTTCAAATGAATACTCAACATCTAATCTAATGTGTTCCAGACTTTATACCAGGAAGAAAATTAAGTAAATTTCAAATCTACCCATGAAACAATTTAGCTGAATGTCGCTATTTCATCTCTATCTAAGATCAATGTACTGAAATATTTGTTTTAATATTGAACAAAAATAATATTGTAGCAACATTGTAGTGTTTGAATTCACAGTTTTGGAGTTGCACTGTGACAGAGTAACACCAAACGTCACACCAAAAAGTCCTGAAAGACTGATCTAACATTTGACAGAAATATTGTACAGTAAAACCTGTATATAACAAACAACTCTACTCTGTACATACAGGATATTTACTTGGAGGAATTGAATATGGGTTTTATTCCGAGGGACAATATGATATTGGCCGAAGGGTAATATGATATTGACCGAGGAAGCGCAGCAACTGAGTGTCAATATCATATAGCTCAAGGTCAACATAATATTTCCGAAGAATAAACCCCATATTCAATCCCGACCAGAAATAACCTATTTATTCCATAATACATCCCTCTAAAATGCTACTTTTGGATAATGCAAATAACCAGGAAAAAATAACCGGGACACCGAAAATAGGTTGATTTGCTCCAATACGATTTTTTTCCGGGGACAATACAATTTTTTTCATGTTATACGCTCTAATACGATTTTTTCCCGGGGACAATACGATTTTTTCATGTAATATGATTCAATACGATTTTTATTCCTTCATATTTCCCTGGGAAAACAGTAGTATTATGGAATAAACCTGTGTATCCATTGTCATGTCGATGATGTTTATAAACAAGTGATGTCATAAGTAAATCTCATCTTGCACGTGTGACTTTTTAGGATGAAAGATGGCAATATCTTGGATGGGGTAAAGATGGCTGTATCTTTGTTAGTCATATGAGACAAAGCTATACATCTCACGTCTTATTTCCATCTTTGCATATACCTCGAGAAAGGCTCATCTAACGTTTGTAAGCAAATGACCAGAATGTAGCCTGATATTGTACAGTAAAACCTGTACATCCAAACAACTCAACTCTGTACACCTCTTCATGTGAGCACTTTTTAAGACTCATTTTTGAATACCATGTTAAACAGAGAATCAGATCAGATCTAGCGAGGAGACCAACAAAATTTTTTGTGTCATGTCATGTCTATTATCTAAAAATCCACAAAGTGCACAGTTGATTACAGGAAAACTTAATATTTTTATAATAATGTATTATTTTTCTATAAGAATGGTTACCATTTTTATTATTTGGGAGAATTTAAACATTTTGCACCCATTATTGCACTTTGAATCCATAATAACTCCACCAATTTATAACATATCGTGAATATTTTGGGAGATAATGTATTTGAGATTGTAAGGAATAGATTAATAGGTAAATTGTACATGTTGCTTGTAATTTAGTCACCCCTGTAGATCTTATTCTGCCTTTAAAAAACCTCTACATGGCTACACCTGCCAAATTAGACTCTTTTGGCTGATTCAACACGTGTTTGGATTAGACAGGTTTTACTGTACATGGAATATGCCCTATTTACATACTATATACATACACAGTAGCTGCCATCATTTACATTGTATGACTATGATTGCCTATGAAATCGATATTTACTACTATAAATGTGGCATTAATATCATTCCTTACAACTACACAAGTGATATTTTTGGCAAGTAAATAAATGGTACGGTATAATACAAAAAGTGAAGTGGCCAAAATATAATTCCTCAGTCTGTATGACACTGCTCTCTTTTACATTTTAAGTTATTCTGCAGTCTGCATGTTCAAAGTGTCAAAAACTTCAGATGTAGTCGCGTTAAATTGTTTTTGTGTCATATGACCTATTCTACTAGACATTAAAAAAACGTGGAGGTACGAGGGAGGTAAAACCTGATTGGTCGATTGTTACCTGACTTGACACGAGAACCTACAACAGTCATTTTCTTCTCTGAGTAAATATGCACTGATTGATTTAATATGCATTGTTGGTTTCATATGCATTGTTGATTTCATATGCATTGATTGACCTAATGACTGCAGGATCCTTTGGTAAACGTTCAAAATGTGTCGTCAAATTTTTCGATCAATATTTTTGAATACTGCCATATTCCATCATTCCAGTTTATATTTTAAATACTCTTTCAGACGTCTTGGCAAGAATAGTTGGTCGACATCTTGCGTCGGGACCAGATGGCGAATAGCCATGCGACTAATGTGTTGAAGGCTCTGAATTCCAGTGGGCATCTCGTAGAAAGATATACACCCGTTTCTTGAGCTAAAATAAAAAACGAAATGCAAGAGTTAAGCTTGCAATCAAAATGCTTCATTTTACATGTGAACCTTAAATTCTCTAAATTTTAGAAATCGTCCAAGTTATTTCAAATGCAATTATTTACGACTGCAGAAGAAAGACCCAATGTCTTTGGGTACAAATACTTTTATCGTCCTCAAGTATTTTTTTCATTTATTTATGAGCCACTGAGAGCCAGGGCATATGCAATTTTTCTTCACCAAACTCTCTGAAATTAAAATTGTCTTAAGAGTATTCAAATTTTTATTCTCTCAGATGCGAGGTATTGTTATCTTGTATGAGGCAAATGAGGCTAAATGACGTATAAAAAGATCTTTTATAAAATGTTGGTGAGGCAACTTGCCTCATTTACCTCATGTCTGGTTACATATTTGACCATCCTCCTAAGCAGATATCCAGAATCCGTACCTCTTTCTTCCCCCTGCTGTAACCAATTTAGAAGCGCCCGATTAAACTGAATCACGTGATCTAATTATGCGCAACGACTTATACATGATTTCTGTTGCAGTGTTGCGACAGCCAATCAGATTGCGAGTTCTTAATCGGGAAAATGCTAACTGCTTATCGCAGGGGGTAAAAAATGGATTTTGAAGACCTGTGATCGGAGGATGACATTTGACATGCATCTATGTAAACTTACCCAGCAGCTAGCACCTGGCCACATGGACTATGATTACAACACAGAGCATTCTGTACATCTCCAACTGCTATAGGATTGTCCTCATCAAAGAGATACCAAAATCTCAAATATCTGAAATATAAGTCATATTACATTAAAGGTGCAACAATGAGTGCAGAGGGGCCATTCAACGATCATGGACTGGTGTCAAAATATATTTAAGTTCAGTTATTTCTTCAAGACTAACATATATTTTAATTATTTCCAAAGAAACCCCCTGGTTGAACATTATTTCAGATGATATTCCTCTTGAAACATGGTGAGTCTTAAAAATCTTTTAGTGGGACTCCCTCTATAGCAGCTTTGAACTGAATTTACACTTCTCAATACTGTAATTGATAGTTTATTCATACATTTTAAGAAAATAGGTATGTCAAAAAAGATGTAAGCCAAATAATGCCCTGATAGCTCAGAAAAAGTTAAAATTTTCAAATTTTCTCTCTACAGGCCTTGTTGCCCCTTTAAACAATAAGTAAAATACAAAATGTGACCTGGCCAAAAATATAATCTCAGTTTGTATGACACTGTACCCCATCATCATTTGTTTTAAGCTATTCTGCATGAAAAAAATTCACAAACATTGTTACATTGTCTTTGTGTTACATTATACTTGTTACTAGGTGACTGCCAGCATCTTAAGATACCATAAAACATATGAATTTGTGGGAGCAATTTTCACTGATTTGTACATTTGATTCATTTTCCTATTCAATGTTTTCATGATTTTTGCCTCAATTCGTGCAAGGAATATAGTTTTTAATTCACAGCATCGTGATTTCACAATTTACACCTGATATTTAACTTACTTTGCAGACAATCAAACAGATAGACAATTGGCTTCTATATAGCCCTACTCTAATATTGTATGGTGGAATAATGAAAACTTATCAGGACTTAAGTCTTACCCGTCATCTGAGATAGAGGCCAAGTGGAGGCCGTCCCTTGAGAATGTCACGCCACGTACATATGATCCATTAGCACCACCGGCATATATACGACTAGGGGGTGGGAATAAGTGTCTGAAAGAACAGATTGCATATTCAAGACGAGGCATCAAAATTTCGATGTTGGATGGACGGCTTTTTATAATTGTACATGAATTTCAGTCGATGGGATAAATATAGATCACACTCTACAGGAGTTTTTATCATTTTTCATCTCATGTTTGTAAAATTCCATTCAACTTTTTTTATAAAACTATTAACTTACCCGAACTCCTGTAGTGCCTCGCCTGTATGTGGGTCCCACACAATAAGACGAGTGTCATACGATGACGTAGCTAACAGGGCGCCATCTGGTGAGAATTCACATCCGACCACTTCGTGATTATGGCCTGACAAGGTGTGTTTAACTTTATACGTTTTCATGTCCCATATTACTACCTGGAAACATATAAAATTGAATGTTTTTTTATTGAGATCAATGTAACATCAACGTACACAGGTTATAATGGCTATGACCCCCAAGAGAGAGTATTAGGTGCCCTTATAGGGAAAAGTAACATATCCTAAGCCCTTATAAGGGAGAGTGATATACCGTATTAGCCGTAATTGGTGCCCATGTCAATATAAGCGCCCCCCAGACTTTTCAAGACCTGTGGGTGAGTCCCTGGGTGGAGAATCAACGTTCAATAGGGTCAAACGTAAGAAATCCAGTGGGAGAGAGCAATTTATCTTAGGCCCTTATAAGGGAGAGTAATATTCTAATCCCTTATAAGGGAGAGTAATATTCTTAGGCCCTTATAAGGGAGAGTAATATTCTTAGGCCCTTATAAGGGACAGTAATAAATCTTAGGCCCTTATAAGGGAGACTAACTAGGTCCTTATAAGAAATACAGTTTCAGGGCAGATTTTCTAACTGAGGGATAAATGCTTATTGCTTACTGATTTCTGTTGGCCTGTTCCAGCAAGCATGTCAGCTTGAGGGGACCAACAGCAGCTATATAGCCACTTAGAGCTTGTAGTCAAAGTCTTCTTCATGTTTCCGTCATCTAACATATCCCAGATCTTGATCTGGCCATCACGCGAGGCAGACGCTAACTGCATACTCTGATTCGGGGCAAATTGAAGACATCTGATGACGTCACGATGATCAACCAACTCCATGAGAAGCTTGGCTAAAAAAACAAAAATAACATGTTCACTTTTACATATGGGCAAGAATGACTAAAGAAGTAAACCTGATCGGCTTTCTTGCAAAGGACTTTTTCAACATTGATATTTGTCCCTCTAGCATCAAGAAAGTGCACCTCAGAAATTGTATTGACATTTACCAATATCATCTGACCCTCATGACCCTTGAATAAGACTTGAAAAGGATATTAATTAAAATCCATGAGATATCAAAGCATTTTTCATTACATGCAAGTATTCGCCATTTTATTACCAATATATTTTGTGAGTCAATGCTATCATAGCTGTTGGCAAGGTAAACTGCTAATTTTGAGTAAAGGACGATTCTCGGTTTGGAGAACAGTCTCCTGGGCTAATAATTTTTTTCATGAAAAATATAGAAATATTACCCAAATTAAACTATGAATATTTAAAAGAGGACATTTAAATCTACAAGATGTAAAGATAACAAATTGGTCTGAAGCAGGGATAATGCTCAAATAGACCGATTCAATATAAATACAAGTCTCCATTTGGGGAAAGAAGTTCATCAGTGTACTGCGCGAATATTTTTTTGCGAAAAATCTAGAAATATTACCCAAATTAAATTATGACTATTCAAAAGAAGACATTCAAATCTTTATTATGTAAAAAAATCAAATTTGTCCGAAGCAGGGATAATGCTCATTTAGATTGATGAACTTCGTTCTCCAAACCGAGAATCGTCCTTTCAACTAACAAGCTTTCATATGATATATAACATATGGGGGTAGGCTATCTAGGATTTGCAATTAACTGGAGGGGGAGGGGCAGTCGTTAAAAAAATCCTGTTCATACAAGTCATGTGGATCCATTTTTCTAGGTGGTATTAATGTTAGCAGACAAACCTCATATAAAAGAAAAGACGTGGAGTTAGTATGACCCAATATAAAAAGGTGGTATTAACATTTTCAGACACACCTCCAATATAAGAATCAATTATAACAATACGGGGAGTTAGTATGACCTGATGTACATCGTACAGTGAAACCTGTCTAATCTGAACGCCACTGGGACTGGGACCAGTGTTCAGATTGGCAAGTGTTCATATTTTGATGTTTTTTACCATGGAAGTCTAGGGTAGATTAAAAAATGGGAGGGAAAACCTGTTCACATTGAGAGATGTCCAGATTAGAGAGGTGTTCAAAAAAGAGGATTTACTGTATTTGGCTCAAGCTGACATATCCAGGACTCACATAAATAATGAAGTCTTAGAATCATAAACTGACATGGGAGTTGGTATGACCCGATAAGGTGGCAGTTTGCAATTCACAATTGCATACAAATTTACAAACAAACTATATTTCCCTTTTAAGGACACGAAAAATCTCCTTTCACTGAATATTATTTAGGCCAGACAATATTTACTCAAGTAACTTTGAAGTGGGAATTTCGAAGTAATTTATGCATTTATTTGACCGATATTTTGTGAAATATTAACAAACTTGATTACTTTTTGGAACAATAAATATGACCTTATTTAAGCCTGGCATTATTCAAACAAAGCATTAACATGCAAAATGTCACCACCTGCCATTTGTTTACATTGAATGCTGACCACCAAACACCAACCACCAAATGCCAAACAGCAGCCACCAAAATCCATCCACAAAAAAGTTGGAGACTATAACAATATGTTATCACTTGTCATGGTTTCATAATAACAATTTGAGTTTTAAGTGAAATATTGATATCTGTGTTAATACTGTGTTAAAAGTTGATAAATTGGAAAATAATAATCAAATTAATAAAAAATATCTTACAAGTCCCTACATGCCATTTGTTACAGACACCAAATGCTGACCACCTAACACCAACCTCAAAATGCCGAACATCAACCATCAAACACCAAATGCCAAACACAAACCAAAGAACACCATCCACAAAAAGTTGCAATAACAAAATAAATGTTTGACTGAAATTTTGATTCTGTGTTAATACTGTGTAAGATAAGTTGGAAATAATAACCAAATTAATAAAAAAATATCTTACAAGTTCCAACATCCCATATGCGTATGTTTCCATTATTGAGACCAGTTGCTAAGATCAAATTCTTTGAAAAGTCGAACATCCGCCAACTGATTAAGGTTGAGTTGACTTTCCCTGGATGTGTCGTAGCTCCAAAGGCCACTGACCAAACAAGATGGCCGCAGTCGATTGTGACGGGCTGTGTATTAAATTCTTCTTCATCTTCGTTCGGGTAAGCATTATGCCTGTAAAATGATTCAATACCATTAACACTGTAAACTAAATGTGATTTTCATACCTCACTTTAAGTTAATTTTTAGACTACATATTATATTTTAGACTACATTATTATATTATATTATTATATTTTATATTATATTTTTATAATTTTTTGTATATATTTTTAGATATGTTATTTTACATTTGTATGCAGTCTTTCCCTATATTGATTTGATGAATTTTTGTTTGCTGTATAATTGTAATTTGTTCAGTGTTGTATATTTGTACTTTTGTGTGCTATATAATTGTACTTTTGTATGCTATATAATTATACTTTTGTGTGCTATATAATTGTACTTTTGTGTCCTATATAATTTTACTTTTGTGTGCTATTAATTGTATTTTCTGAGTCCTCTATAAATTGTATTTTTAAAGTGCTGCATAATTGTATTTTTTGTGTGCTGTATAAATTGTATTTTTTGTGTGGAGTAGAATTATATTTTTGGTGTGCTGTATAATCGTATTTTTTGTGCTGTATATTTATTATATTTTTGTATACTGAGATAGCATTGCATACTTGAGTCACTATTCTGCCAAGTTTTGACAACATATCAAACAGTTACTTACGTTGACGATTTCCGTCTCTTACTCCATGGAATGAGTTTCACAAGTCTGTTGCCGCATGACCATGCGAAGTATGACGCGTCAGCTGACCATGCACACTGCCAAGTCTCGCAGCCTGCTTTTTGCGTCAATGGATTATTTGATGGCTGCAACTGTGCTAGAAACTTGGCTCTTTCTGCAAATACAAAATATGAAAATTAGTTTATTGGCCTTATATGTATTGTAAAGACAGGTAAATTTATATGGGGTCCAGGAAACTGGACATGTGAAACAGGCTACAATGCTTATGCAGTGTTGATGTGGAAATGTCAGTTGGTCACGAAGCTGAGTGGTAGAGAACTCGTTTGGAAAACCGAGGGGTCCTGGGTTTTATCATCACTTAAAGTTGTACTCAAACCATTTTACTTGATTTAGAGATATTAATGCTATCTTACCATATGAAAGCCACACTTTACGATGGTGAACCATCAACAATTCCAAAAATTCATTTTATGATAATTGCACCTTTTTGCCATTTTAATCGGGAGGAAAAGGGTTAAGACAATGTTTTATATTCTGAGTGCTGAACTTGATTATTGCTATGCTTCACATTTATTTTACTTATCTCTTTATTTGCCCCTAAGCATCAATTGCACACTTGAAGAGGGTGCAGTACAAAGTACAGTTCAACCTGTCTAACCTGAACACCTTTGGGATTGACCAAAAGTGTTCAGATTAGCAGGTGTTCACATTTCAAGGTTTTATAGACAACTAAGTCAATGGGAGATAACAATTTTAGGGACGGAGAAAAAAGAGCTCATATTGAGAGGTATTCAGATGAAAGAGGCATTAGGATTAGAGAGGTGTTCAGATATACAGGTTTCACTGTAAACACAAATGGTGGTTTTATTAATATAGATCTTATGTTTTAATAATCATTCCCTTGACAATCAAAACTTGAACTTACACATGTAACGGTTCCAAACAATATTATTCCTGTTCTGAATTTCCTAATTTCATATTTTTGAGAAACCTAAGCTACTTACTCCGATTCTTAATTTTCATAATCATCAAAGTTGGAATACAGCCATAGAAATAATCGCAAAAGAATATAAAACCACTTACATAAACCTACTAAGAGTACAAAATCCTTTTAACAAAGAGGCTTGCCAGTTTCCACCAATCAAAGTACAGGAGGAATACCATTCACTGTATTGAAAAAATATTTCAATGAACTTGGCTCGATGTAAAGTTACCTTGACTTCTACTGTATTGTAGTCTACTTCTCTTACCCAATTTCTATACTTAATAATATCACCCATTATTAACATGATGTTTAAAAATAAAAAAGCAATATGTGTAACAAGGCATTAACATGACAAAATGTCACCACCTATTTGCACACAAAATTATGAGTTCAATCTTAAGTCAGATTTAAATTTCTGAGAACGTGTAGATGATTTTGAAAAAAGGTCAATTTAATGCAATATGAAAAAATACCTTTTTGACCTTGAGTAGGTCATTGAAGGTCAAATATTTCTTTGACTTTGAGAAGGTCAGATCTAAAATCTAAAGTTAGATTTGAACTTCTGATAACTTGTAGATGATTTCATTTTTTTTTAAAAATTGGTCAATTTAAAGCAAGTTGAAAAAAGACCTTCTTTTACCTTTTTGACCATGAAAAGGTCACCAAAGGTCAAATCTTAAATATAAAGCCAGATTTGAACTTCTGAAAACTTGAAGATGATTTTGAAAAAAACTGAAGTCAGTATTTGTTAAGTTTTAAGAATCGTTACAGATGCCAACTGCCATAAGTTTTGAAAAGTAGTCAAAACTCAAAAAGTAAGCAAGATATTGAGTAACTAGTCCAAAAAATACTTTTTTGATAAAGGTAATCTAACCTGTATTAATTGAAATAACAGCTTATTGTTTAAATAATGTTACAACTACAAAATCTCTCCAATGTTGTTTAAAAAAAAAATTAAAAATGCTTAAAATGAATATTGGAATATTTGTTGATTGTAAAAGATCAAATTTATTGTAAAAATAGTCAGGAATTTAAATATTTGAAAAAGAACAATAGGCCAAAACATTTTTAAGCCATTGAAAAATGAAGATGTAAACAAATGATAATGATAAAAAAATATTTTCAACTCAACACTGAGTCTTTCATCGTTTCCATGTAAAAATAATTACATACCAATATCCTTGATTTCTTGCTTCATGTCATCATTTCTATGTCATCATTTTTATGTCATCATTTCTATTGATATCCTCAGAAAATGAATCTCATGTTTGGAAGACAAACTTCAAGGCTGACCCTTGATTTTACTGTATCATTTTCATTTGTTAATCAATAACGAAAACTTTAATCTGACTTAAAATGTTCAGTTAATCGTATTCTGGTTTCTTCAACAGGTAGGCTTTAAGAAGTTTGAGGTCAATTTTCTTAGATTGTATCTTTCGTATGCGAACAATACTACTTAGCCTTGCATTATAACTTGATTAACCAGCTCAATAGAAAGGTTTTATCCTTTAAGTTGACATTCTTACTTCACTTCCATCTATAGTCAGATCTTTATTGATATCCACAACTCTTGATCATTGGACGAAACTACTGTTAAAGTACATGCATTATTTGAATAAACACATCTCGGCTTATGTTGTCGTTTTTTAGCTGCCAATAACTCACAGGGGCTCAATATGTTACAAGGACACCAAGTCATTTCAACAAGTAATCATAGCTTTGTAAGTTGAGTACATTTTGAATTTGATACAAATGATTATAATTTGGATGAGCGTACTCTTAAAGTACATGCATTATTCAAGTTCGGTTGTCATATCAGCTTTTGTTGTTGTTGCCTGCCTGCCAAAAAAACACAAGGTCTCAATATGTTACAACGACAAAATTTCATTACAACAAGTAATCATACTTTATCACATTGAATTTCATATAAATGACTGCCAATTAATCCCAATCAAAGTGCCTCAATATGTTACCAGGTCACCATTTCATCACAACAAAAGGGCATAGTTTTGGATATTGAATTTGATAATAAATGAGCTAGGCCACAGGACGAGGGGTCTTATCACAGATTTTTTTCAATGATTTAATTTTTTGTTTTTCAGCACAAAGAGACCTTTCAAATGAGCCATGGCTTATATCTTAACAATTTTTCCTTGCAGATATAGACCAAAAAGACAGATTTGAATTAAGCACATTTTCCTTTTAATCTTAGGCACATTTTGGCTCTGTTGCACAATCTTAATTTTTGTGATAAGACAGGTTTTCCTATGCAAGGCTCAGATAATAAATAATTTTCATTTATATAGAGAGTGTAGTTTTGTGATATAATAATTTTGATGTTCTTGTTGAAACACTATTTTTCCATTGTTGATCAAAATACAAAATGGCGTCTTGTTACAAAAGCGAGGAACAGAAAGTATGAATGTATTCTTAAATAATTAAGTTAATGAATATAAAATTATAACAAAGAAAAAACTTAAAATTGTGTGCTACCTGCACACCTGAGATATAATATAATCAAACAAAAAAATCTTGCAAAGATTTGTTACAAGAAAGCAAGACATATTGTTGACACAGCATCCTCCTAAGCAGGTGTCCAGAATCCGTACCTCCTTCTTCTCCCCTGCTACAACCAATTTGGAAGCGCCCGATTTAACTAAATCACGTGATCTAATTATGCGCAATGACTTATACATGATTTCTGTCACAGTGTTGCGACAGCCAATCAGATTGCGAGTTCTTAATCGGGGAAATGCTAACTGCTTATAGCAGGGTGTAAAAAGAAAGAATATATTCTGGATTTTGAAGCCCTGTGATTGGAGGATGGGGACACAGTGTCCTGGTAACACATTGAGACCCAGTGAATTCCTAGCAAAAATATACCTAGCTGGAGGTATCTTAACATATTAAGTTATTTAGGTACATGTATTTATGTACTCCATATATTGTTACAGTGCTGTTATATAAGATCATATGACCTTTAACTTTATGAACTAAGACGCCATTTAGTTGAAATGAAAAAATGAATGTTTACTATTGGTAAACAGATTTTTAAAAGTACATAGTGAACACATAGCATACCTGCCAACTTATTGTCACTAATTTGTTTGGAAAAAGTAGATTTTTCAAAAGTAGGAAAAACTGGAGAAAAGCAGGAGATTATTTCTTAGATGGAGAAGAGGAGAACTTGGGAGATTTCAAGTGAAACAGAAGAAAATGGGGAATTTCTAAAAGGATGGGAAAAATGGAGAGAGGAGAAATCCGGGAGATTTTGTAAAGTCAGGAAACTCTTTGCCATCTGAATGTTAATACTTCTGTACATTCTGGCTGGGTAGGCTGGCAGTGTTCTTCTTTTTACCAGTACAATTTGAATACAATGCTTGTTTAACGATTAAATTTTTATTTACAAAATCAGAATGCAGTGATCACTAAAGTAGAAAGTTGTGTTTTGACAATTTTAATGCATATGGATTAGTTTTTCATAATTGCCCGATAAACCTGACATTTATTTAGAAGCACTCAATGTCTACTGGCCTTAAAAATGTTTATTCTTTAAACAACTATCTTTCAATTATTCAACCGAGACACTATAAGCACTTACTGGACACTGATGTCTAAAAAACATATTGGTTGTTTAAATGAATATTTATAACGATCACTTTTTAAGGACATATACAAAATGGAAATATCTGTAACAGATGGGCATGATGGATAGAGATAACACCGAATTTTAAAAAAACATCTTAAAAACATAGTGTAACAAAATTTTGAATTTTTGATTTTTGATTTGGTGCTGTCAACTCGTTTTTATACATTTATTACACTTGATTTGTGGTTTACATGTGAGATCATTAGGATGGTAACGTGTAGCAATGTTTGCAGCACTTAGGTTGTACTTACAGAGGTGAAATAGTTCGCATGTTTTATTTATTTAATCAAGATTTTGTTGATCGGGCAGTCTTATCTGGCAGTCTAATTTGTAGTTGATCGGTAGTCTAACATGACACCTTTATTATTTTACTTCCTGGTTTTGATTCTATCAAATCGAAGTAAAACTAGAGTAAGTAGCGATCAATTAATGTTAGATTTGTTGAGTTCCAATTATTATCTTGTTGTAGAAGCAATATTAAAGCGGGATATGGCGTCAATAACTTGTTATTTAACTTTGA